ACATACAAATAGATATGTCACATTTTCTTATTCCATTCATATGTTGATGAACATATTGACTGCTTCTGTAATTTATGTATTATAAGTTGGGCAGCTGTAAAAATGGGTGTGTGTATATCACTGTAAAATGGCATTTTTTAACTGTTTCAAGAAAATACTTAGGAGAATAGCTGCCTGGACTAGAATTTCAATTTTAATATTTTGAATAATCTCCATACTGATTTCCATTATCCTTATATTACTAACATTTCCATCAACAATGTAGAAGTGTTCCTTTATCCTCTTAGTCTCACCAATATTTTTCTTTGATTTCTTGATAAAAGCTATTATTTTTACAGTAAGGTAGATTCTCAAGATTGTTTTAATTGGCATTTCCCTCATGGCCAATGATGTTGAACATTTTTTTGTATATTTATTTGCCATTTGCACTTCTGAGAAGTTTCAATTCCTTTCAATTGCCCATTTTTTCATTTAGTGTTTTACTTTTGATGGTTTAATTTTTATTTTTTAAAATATATTCTATATATTAGTTCTGTGTTCAAGGAGTAGCTGGAAATTTATTTTTCCTATTCTATAGCTTGTCTTTTCACCCTATTTTTTTCTGTGTGGAAAGATTTTAATTTGATGTAAGTAAATTGTTCTAATTAATTACTATTGGTGTTTTAGTCTGAATTTCATTAATTTTTGCTCTGATATTTATAATTTCCTTCCATGAAAGAGATTCCATTTGGATTTGTCTTGCTTTTCTAAAATTTTGAGATGAATTATTAGCTTATTTCAGCTTACTCTCTTTTTTCAATGTGGGCATTCACAGAAACAAACCTCCCCATTAGGGCTGCTTTTCTTGTCCCACATAGATTATGTAATGTTTTACAGGCATTATCATTTATTTCTAGAAACTCTTTAATTTCTTCCTTGATTTTTCTGTGAGTGCTTGATTATTCAAGAGTATATTATTTAATCTCCATGTGTTTGCAAAACTTCTCTTATTTCCTTGGCAAATGATTTCTGGTGTCATTGCACTATGATCTAATAATTTATGGTATAATTTTGATTCTTTTGTATTTATTCAAGCCACCTTTGTGTGCTAGTACATTGTCTATTTTGAAAAAAGTTTTATGTGCTCCTAAGATGAATTTTTTTTCTATTGTTGGGTTGAACAAGGTGTAGATATTTATGAAGTTCATTTTCCTGAAGGTGTGCTTCAACTCTCATATTTTCTTGTTGCTTTTTGTCTATTTGATCTATTTGTGATAGTGGGGTATTGAGTTTCCCCCACTATGATTGCACTGATGTTAATCTGACCTTTTATGTCCAATCATGTTTATTTTATGAAGTTGTGCATACTGGGATTTGGTGCATATATATTTACATATATATTTGTTATCTCTTTCTATTGAATTCTTCCCTTACTTTATATGTAGAGACTTTTTTGCCACTTCTAGTGAGTCTTGGCTTAGAGTCCACCTTGTCTGAAAATAGGATTCCTGCTTGTTTTCTTGGACCTGTTGCATGGGATATTATTTTCCATCATTTAGTTTTTAATCTATGAATTCCTTTTTTGGATTAAATATGTCTCTTGTATGCAGCATACTGTTGGGTTTTCTTTTTTGATCCCTTCTGCCTATCTGTGTTTTTTTTTTTTAGCATATGTTTCCATTTATTTAAAACTCAAGAATGTGCAAATAATGTATGCTGACACAGTGATTTGACTGGAGATGAAACTGGATGGAGAGATGGATTACAAAGGACACAAGAAAACTTTTGGGCATGAGGGGGTAATTATTATCTTCAGACAAAATCATACCTGAGTGTTACTTTGTTTTTGTTTATGGTATTTGGTCTCAGGGGCAGAGTTTCCTGCATGCTAAGCACACATTTTATTATTGGGCTACATCTTAGCCTGATTAGTTTAAAAAAAAAGTAAAAAAAAAAAAAAAAAAGCTAATAGTAAAACCTCTAAGCTGTTTACAGATCGAACCAAGGACTTCAACATGGTAAGCAGGGACTCCACTATTGAGCTATACCACTACCCTGATATATATCTCCTCATTCAATCACTTTCAGCATATCACCTAGTCACTATCAGGGGAATATTTACCTTCTAACATGCCTACACTTACCTGCTTCTACAGGGAAAGCTGTTCTTCACCAATAAAGCTACCTACCCCAGTTCCATCCGTAGAAACAATGCACCCTGTGGCCTTCTTAATTCATAATCACCATGAACCTTCTAAGTTAGTAGCTACTGAAACCTAAAACTAATTCAGACACATGTTCATACCTTTTCTTCACCTCCTTTGCAAACCCCTCCCTGGCCCCATCCCAGTGACCAACTCAAGGCATCTGCAGAATTGAAAGATCTCAAATAGGTACAAAAGCAAACAACCCCAGATCTCAACTTCTCAAGGGAAACCTAACATGAAAGCAGAGGAGAGCAGACTCCCCTATCTGTGTTTTTAATTGGGGAGTTGAGGACATTTACATTGAGAGTTAATATTGAAAGTTATTGACTTATTCCTGTCATTGCAGTTTTTCTGTTGCTTATTCCTTTATTTTTCCATTTTTTCTTAACTGGCCACCCTGCTTGATTTATACATTACGTCAAACTTATGACATTGTTGTCTTCATTATCTGTATTTAGCATACCCTTGATAATTTTTTGGAGTGCTAGTTTTGTGGTCATGAATTGCTTAAAATGTTTTTTGTAGTGGGAAGTCCTCATTTCTCTACCAATTTTGAAAGATAGGTTTGCAGAATATAGTAGTGTGAGCTGAATGCTGTTTTCTTTTAGGGCTTTTAACACTACACTGGATGCTATCCTAGCCTCTACAGATTGTGTTAAGAACTCTGCTGTAATTGTGTTGGGTTTACCTTTATAAGTGATTTGTTGTTTTGCTTTCACTGCTTTTAAGATTCTATCTTTGTATTGGACTTCTGGGATTTTGACTAATAAGCATTGTGGAGAAGTTCTCTGGTCATGGCTCTGGGGATTTTGTATGTATTAACGTATATGTTGAATCTTTTCTTCATATGTGGAATGTTTTCTGCTATAATTTCTGTATACAACATTTTTATACCATTGGTGGTATGTTTTGACTTTTTCTGACTCCAGTTAATCTTATGTTAGTCTTCTTTTAATAACCTAGCAATGGGGCTGGGGATTTAGCTCAGTGGCAAAGCGCCTGCCTGGCAAGCCCAAGGTCATGAGTTCGGTTCCTGGTACCAGAGAAAAACAAAACAAAACAAACAAACAAAAAAAACCCCTAGCAATTCTTGAATCCATTTCCCCAGTTTTCTTGTTGTTTATAAGGTTTCTCTTGATATATGGTTACATGTATCAGCACTGTCTTCTAGTTTTAACACTCTTTCTTCACATTGCCAATTTTTTGCTCATACTTTCAGTAGAATTTTTCATTGTCTGTATTTCTGTTGATGTCTTTTCACGTACTCTAATTCTTTGCTAAATTTATCATTTGTGTTTTGAACCTTGGTGGTTAGCACTGCTGTTTTTATTTGTATCTTTTTAAATTTCACAGACCATTTTATTAAGTTCATATAGCTATATAGTTATATCATCTTTGTGCTCACTGACCATTGTTGTTTTATCATTTTATATAATTCAACCATTTGAATTTTATTTTGTCCCCATCTATGCCTTTTGAATACGCTTTAAGAGATTTCAGAGGTTTTGGAGGGTTTTTGTTACCTTGTGTTTCTTATGTTTCTATTTTGGGGTTTTTGTTTGCTTTGCTTTATTTTCTGAGGGTTGAGATTCAATTAGAGTAGAAAAACTTTGTTGCCATTGTAGAGATCTCTTTAGTTTGTGTCTGCTTTTCAGTGATGTGATCTTGCCTATGTTTGTGTTTATTAATCTACTTCTTTTACTGATTCATTTTAATGGGGTTGGACCCCATTTTGCAAGGAACCCTTGCCAGTTACAGCAATATCAACAGATCTAAGCATGTGTCAGTCATGTACATTAAAACTTGTTTTAGCAAATTCACTCTTCTATCACTGTTCCTCACAGACTATAGTATACTATTATCAATATTACAACTGGGATATAAAAGGAGGGAGAACAGAAAAAAAGAAGAAAAAAGGAAGGTGATAAGCTAATAAGAACAGTGTGAGAGAAGGGAAATATCAACAGGTAAAACACACACAGGAGATAAGGTTCTGTTATGCTTGGTTTTGAGTAAAGGGTTAGTGTTGAGGAGAGTTGAGAGGATATTTTTGGAGACAGAGGAGGGATGCAGAGGGAGGAATTGAAATTGGAGACTGAGGGAAACTGAGAATGTCAGAACCTGTTAATATATTGATAATTAGCTTATATTTGAATCTATGCACAATTTTAATGAGGGTCACCCTAACATACCTGTAAAAGATACTATTTAAATCACTGGACTGCATGTACAGTGGACCTGAGGTATAAGAGATGCTGCAGTCCAGCTTCCTTTTCTAAACCTGATACCAGATTTTGGTCTAGTAAGTTTCTCTCTCTGTTTAGCTTCCCCAAAACTGGCTTTCCCTGTCACCACTGCTACAGTATAACACCTTTCTTCTGGTGCACTTATCAGAGTCTCTTTGCTTTGCTCACCACTTAGCCACCCTTGATTAACATTCATGATGATTAACCTGAGTAATGTACTATGATTATCTCATGAACAGATTTTATTACCACCAAACACCATCATTATAGTATTTACATGAAGAAAGGTTAAGAAAAGCCATCATTTTACATTAACAATAATTATAGCTCCAACTAATTCTTACAAAATCTGTTTTCAGTTACCAATGGATCTACCAGTTTTTGTAAAATCATTGTGGCTTTTATTTTACTAGATTTGAACATGCTTATGTACATTTATAATTTATTTCCCAATGTTAGCTTGGTTTATTTTGAGGGTTAATATGTTTTCAACTTTTTTATGTGCTGTCAGTGTAACATTGGTTTTAAGATGCTAATATTTCCTTTCAATATTTTGCTTGCTCCATAGTTGATCTACTGACTTCACAATGTCTGAAATAAGATTCAGCAATCTCTCTTCGGATCAAGTGATGATACTGGATCACGTGTTAGATGAAGTAGTTCCAATTCATGGAAGGGGAAATTTCCCCACACTGGAGGTAAAACCAAAAGATATCATTCATGTTGTGAAAGAGAAACTCATAGGGCAAGGGATTACTATTAGAGATACCCGATTGAATGGTTCCACAGCAAGTTATGTGCTTGCAAACCGTAATGGAATCACCTATAAGGATCTGGACATTATTTTTGGAGTTGTAATTCCAAGTGATGAAGAATTTCAGGTTATTAAGGACACAGTTCTAAGCTGCCTACTTGACTTTTTACCAAAAGGTGTAAAAAAGGAAAAGATTACCCTAAACACTATGAAAGATGCTTATGTTCAGAAGATGGTTAAAATTTGCAATGAACATGATCGCTGGAGTCTCATCTCTCTTTCAAATAACACTGGGAAGAATGTAGAGCTAAAATTTGTGCATTCACTCAGACGACAGTTTGAATTTAGCGTGGACTCCTTTCAAATTATTTTGGATCCCATGTTAGATTTCTACTATGTCAAAAATGTGAAGTTGACCAAAGAATCCTGTCCTGTTTTGGTAGCTGAAAGCATGTATGGTAATTTCCAAGAAGCAATGATTCACTTAAAATACAAGCTTATATCGACCAGGAAACCTGAACAAATTAGAGGTGGTGGTCTTCTGAAGTATTGCAACTTGCTGGTTCGTGATTTTAAGCCAGCCTGTGAGACAGAAATCAAGATTTTAGAACGTTATATGTGTTCTAGATTCTTCATTGATTTTCCTGATGTAGACGAACAGCAAAAAAAAATTGAATCATACTTACTTAACCATTTCATAGGAGAAGAAAATAGCAAGTATAACTACCTTATGACTTTGCATCGTGTTATAAATGAAAGCACTGTTTGCCTCATGGAGCATGAAAAAAGACAGACTCTCCACATGGTCACTCTTTTGGGTTTAAAAGTACTTGGAGAACAGAATGTTCTACCCAGTACAGAAAATGTAACATGCTTTTATCAACCTGCTCCATACTTCGTTGCTGAAGGAGGATACCCTACTTATAATGTAACAGCTGGACCACCACCTGTTTTCTTCCAGCCATATCATGCATTCCCCTTTCATATTCCAAGTGATGATTTAAGAAACCCATGTCCAGAAACAAGGAACACACATCCAACAGGAACACCGCCTAATTAAACATCCTTAAAGGCAAGTTTCCCAATTCTATAAAATTCATTATCTATTTTTAGTTTTTGCCATTAAAAAGTATTTTCCATCAATTATAGCTTAAACCATAAGAGTAAATACATTATCTTCTGTGAACTGACAACTTTAAATGACGTCCAAATGTTACTGACAAGTTATAATAATTTTCAAAAATTGAGAAACACTTAAATTGACACAGTTCTTGCTTAATACTTAGGACTTTCAAATTTGTTATGAAAAATACAGATGCCTATATCTTTGACTAAAATTAAAACAAGTCTTAAAATCCAGAAATACAATGAAGACAAGTGCCAGCATTTTTATTTAATCAATCTTTTTGCTAAATTTTTTTTTCTGATTAATTATACTGTTACCAAATTTTTAAAACTTAATATAAATGCATAATTTTGAAGAAAATAGATTCAGAAGATATAAAATCCTGGACTTTGTAAGCATTTATTTCTTCTTAATTAAATTAATTTACGTTCAAAAATCTGAAGAAACAATGGAAAAATATTTTCAGAAAACACTGGACATTAGTCATTTATCATCTACCTAATTTGACTTTTAGTTAAGTTGTAGATCTGGAAAATAATACCATCCAGCTCTATAGCTAATATTGTGACCAGTTATGTGCCTTTCTCTCTCTCTCTCTCTCTCTCTCTCTCTCTCTCTCTCTCTCTCTC